AATTTATTATATATATATATATATATAGAATGAAATCGAGAAAAATGTGTCGCCGTTACGTTTTTACAGTGTGCTTGCATCCGATTACGATGAATTTTTATTTAATTGAAACCGATCGTATGGAATAAAAATGAAATATTTAAAAATTTTTCTTTTATTTATTTATTTTCTTTTTTTTTTGGTTTTTAAATTAATAAATCACACAGTTATTACTTGTTATATAAAATATATTTTAACAATAAAGTCACTTGTCTGAAAAGTGATCTGTATATTGCACGTCACATTAAAATATTTATATATACAAATATATAAAAGTAAAATGATACATGAAAAAAAAAGTATTGAAATAAAATATACAAATAATCACAAAAATATTAGACTGATCGATAATATAAAATCGCGACATATCACGACAAAGAGAACTCGAAATTTACTTCTTTTTTTTTTTTTTTTTTTTCTTTTTTCTTTTCTTTTCTTTTAAATATATACTATAAACTATACTATATTCGAACGGTTATAGAAAGAGCGGAAAAGTGTATACGAGCAGAAATACTCAGTCAAATATTTTTTTGTAACTAAATGTATACATAAAAGTATACATAACTAAAAATGAATTATATATATATATACAATTATTTTATAATTAAAATGTAATCAACATGAATCAATAATACGAGATCATTTTGCTAAGTTTTTTTTTTTTTTTTATTTGCTTGCTTCTATCGAGATCATTTTACCAATTTTACTCCGATCTGAATTAATTGCGAGTCAATTAATGCTTTTTAATTAACTAATGACTAGTAAGTGCTTCAAAGATGATAATAAATTTTTAAAGTGAAAATTTATTTCTCCCTATTCGATTAATAGAAAACATGATCTCGCAAAATTTTCAAAAATCAACTATGGTAAAATCACACTTTTTTTTTGTTTTTTTTTCTTTTTTTGTTTTTTTTTTCTTTTTTTAATCAATATTATCTCTTTGCTGGTTGTGTGCGTGAGCGTATTACGTATATAATTATCATTTCTGAAAACAGTTGTCAGTCTTGAAAGTAGTGTGAATCGTGGTGTAAGGATTGTTATTTTTTAGCGGCCGAACATTTTTTTTCTTCCGTCTTCTCTTTCGCTTTCGAAGATTTCGAAGATTTCTTCACCAATTTACTATTTTTCTTCCCTTTCTTTTTTGGGGCAACTTTTCTCCTCGAGATTATATGAACGGGACTCAGGATCTTGGTCGTTGACAATTCCGCAGAAATACGGCGCATGGTGAACCGTTTAGGTCGGCGGATACAGGAACGCTTCAATTTTCTTCCGGCTTCGGTCCGTTTCCACACATAATAAAACTCTACGATGTCCTCCTATAAAAAAAGATTTTCCTTCTTTTTATATTCTTCCTTCACGAATTTTTCACGATCGAAGAGGATTGAAAGAAAGTGTGTGTATGTAGGGCGGGGAAATGTAGAGGAAGACAGAATTCGTGAGAAGAAAATGAATTTGCAGTATCGTAGAATTCGATCGAATCGAATAAAGGGATATGACTCGAGACGAGAAGATTGAGTAAAGGGAAGAGGAGGTCGTGAAAAAAGGGGGGAAAATTTAAAAATAAATATAATGTAACTTACCACATTCTTGTGTGGAAGCAGCTTCCTCTGAATTATCCCAAAGTTGGACCAATAAGATAAGAAACCTCTCTCGAAGATTTTCTGCAAACATCGAATGCAATGGCAAATGTAATTAAATTGCCGATTCCGATATTACTCGTTGAAAATTGTTTAATTCAAGATCGGTTCCATGATAATCCATCATCGATTGGAATCAATATCGGGTTTAAAATGAAACGATCGAAATAAACTTACCACATCTTCCTCGGTCCATTTCTCAACGATCTTCCGTGGCAGCTCTTTGTTTAATAATTTTTTCAATGCCACTTCCGGCTTATATTCAGAATTATGAAGAACATCACTAATATACTGCTCAGCGTAACCTGAGCAGGCGTTTTCCATAGCTTCCTCGTTGCTAATGTTCTGACGTTCCTGTACGAACGTTAAAACAGAACGCGCCATAACGTTATAGTCGGGGAACCACTTATCAACGTCTTCGCTCGGGCTCCACAACTTTTCCTCAGGAAAATCACGATATTCGCTCTCCAAGTCGGTTCGCTCCCGACATTCCGGGATATCTGCCGTTTCATACGTCTGAAAATTGAAGACATTAGAAAATCTTTGATTCATGACGATTTAATTCTAAACGGTCTTCCACGTGAAAAAAGCATGATGAATAATTAACGGATGATCACCCGGCACTGTTACAACAATATGCGTATAAATATATTCAGAGTTTTTCCTTTTAAATATATTTATATTAATAACGTGAAATTTACGGCATATTTTTAATATAATATTTTATCGATACTTTTTCAACAAAAGAAAAATCAAACAAATTCACTTGTATTTACAAGGGATACGTTAAGATAGGATTGGACGTATCAGATTTATAAATTTTTTTTTCTTTTTTTTTTTGAATTTTAAACCTTTTTTAACCGTAATATTTCATTGTTTTTCATCATCAAATTTGTTACCGTCAAGATTTATTAGATCGAGTAGTTTATTACTTTTCTTTACACGTATATCACATGTATATTTATATAAAATCTATCTAATGCACATTTTGATCATATTTTTCTACATTATTATCTTTTATTTCGTCGTATTGTATTTTTTCTTATTGTATGTTTAAATGTAAATGCGAGAAAGGTCCGAATAGCGTGCACCGGTATCGAACAATCAAACTTCACGAAAATAATTCGATCGAATTAAAAAGTTCTTTCCCCGTATTAACTTTCCGACGAGGCTAGAGAAGAGATAAAGAGAGAGATGATGCCCGAACGTGGTGCAAGATACGCTCAACTTCACGACGACAAGTTCCACGAAAACGTTTATCTATCAATTGAAATCCGCGAAATCTTTACACGCAAATTTGAATTAACTATCAAGAAATATCGTGTATAAGTAGCGAGAGATATTAAGTGAAGAGAATAGAGCACGAACCTTCTCCTCTGTCCGCTTCCTTTTTGCCATCACGTAGGTTTGATATGTATCTTCACACTTTACTAATTACTCGAATATACTCTAACAAATACACGGTTCAATTGTCACTCACGGTATATGTTTATCCTTACACTTGATGCACAAGAATGATCCTCGTGTGTTCTGCCTCGACTATAACTACCTATTAAGATATAGAGTTCCACTACCTGCCGTGAGGATAAAGGACCTCTTGGTAGGAAGGTATGAAAATGACCCGTGCCTGCCCAATTCTGCCCATCCTTTTTCGCATAATTGTCCCATTTAGCCAATCGAAGGAAAGAAAAATGGAAACTCCCACTTTCTCAGTGACAAATCTTACAGTTATTCGTGCGACGTTTCGTTTCTTCCTCCACCTTTCCGTGATCCATTGGTTGGAACAAATAGTTGAACGTTCCAATACGAAACGAATCTCGCCCACTTTGAGGACAATTCGTATCAATTAATAGGTATCGATATTTTTATTATTATTATTATTATTATTATTATTATTATTATCTAACGGTATTAATAACGATATTAACGATATAATAATCGTCTATTAATAATCATAGACGAGCATTACGAAAAAAAAAAAANAAAT